CGCCCGCAACGCTCCGCGACTATCACGGTTTCAATGAGTACAGCGACCAGCATCATCGTAAAGGCAGCACTCGCATGAGGACAGAGCACCTGATCGGCAACAGAACAGAGTAAGCCGTCCCAGTCACCGAAGTCCGCGTAGGACATCCAGAAGGTCCCAGTCACATTCGGCTTGAAATGAACCTGCTTTGGGATTTGAGGGTTTCAAGCACGAGACCTCCTGAAATCCCCCAGGCACGGGGAATGTGCGTCGACATTCTAACCAATCCTGAGCGCTAAAACTGCTGGATCGTCCAAGCCGTGAGTGCCGACACAACTTCCCAGAATTCGCAGACTTTAGATTCCACAGATTACTCGTCTCCGTCGCGCCTGCTGCTTCGCTGCCGGGCAATCCTCCCAGGCATCCGACATATCGGACCAGCGTCCGGACCTCAAGAGATCAAGAAGTCTTATATGAGGGGCTTTCAGTGCCAAATTTCACAGCAAGTCCGGGCGAGGCAAGGTCCGTCTGCAGCCCTACTCAACCGGCGTTGCCAGCGGGGGCTTCAAGGTTCGTACCAGCGGAACTCGGTGGTAGCCATTGTAAATATAGCCATCGTTTGGCCCAGAACACTCTGGCTGGACATGTCCAGAAACATCACGAGCTCTGCACCAGAGCTCCGTGAGAGGAGCACCAGAAACCTTTCCAGAGCCCCTCACACCGGAGCCGCTGGGTGGAAGCCGGACCACAGACTCGAAGCGCACCCAACCCCGACACGGACCTTGCCGGTCATCTTGTGGGATTTCTGCAAAAAGGCAGGTCGCCGGCTGCCAAGTCTGACCTTTGTCAGCCGAAAGCTCCACCGCCTGGATAGCATGCGGGCCGCCGCCGGCGTAGGCCACGCCCCGCACTTCAACGGCACCTGCTGAGGCATCGAGCCAGGCCCCAGGCTCCGGAGAGAGGATCAGAGAGTTCATGGGCAAGGCATAGATGGGTGCGGACCTGCCGGCGTCGCGGTAGTAATTGGCGGTCCAGGGGGCATCAGACTCCTTCCCAATTGTCAGCTTCGTTAACCACTTTACGTTTCGGGCGCCGGCAACGCCTGGCAACAGTGCTCGCACGGGGAAGCCATGATCCGGTGTTAGCTCCTCCCCGTTCATGTGCGTCGCCAGCAAGCAATCGGCGCTCTTTTCCAGAGCAAGACTTAGGGGTATAGAAGTGTAGAAGCCGTCGGCCCCCTCCAAGGTCAAATGCAGTTCCTGGACGGCTGCTGCGGACATCGTTTGCACTGACGGGAAAAGCGTGCGTAGAACATCATCCAGGCGGAAACCGGTCCATAACGCATTTCCCAGCATGCCGGCACCACTCCACTCGCCATCTCCACCCACGAAGCGGCTGCTACGATAGCCGTTTGCCACTATGTTGTCTGCTGCCCGGTTTCCAGTGCATTGGAGGATGGAAGTGATCCGCCGACAAGGAAACCGCTTCTGGAGCTCACCCACGGTGAGATCCACTTCCACGCCTCCCTCTGATGCAAACGTGATTATATGATCGGTAGCCGTTTCAATGGCAGGCACGGGCGCATGGTTTCGCACATAGAGCTTGCCTTTGGGCGTCAAAAACTCTTCTGCCATCTCCGACAGGCACGTCTCTGTCTGAAATGGCACCTCGCTCAGGATCACTGCCGTACGGCGAGACTCTTCGCGGCCCGGCGCTGTCTGCTCTGTTTCCCAAGCTCCACCTCCATAACGCTCCAGGTCCTCCTCAGTTTCATAGTCGAGCAGCCGCCCGATGCGCAAAGTCTCCAACGCCGCCGGCACCTCCGGAGAGAGGTGGTGCTGGGCCCAGTGCTTCCACCATCCATCAACCGGCCCACCAGCTGCCTGCAGTATCAATTTCCCACCAGGGTGCCTTATCACATACTCAGTGATGTCATACACCCCATCACGATAGGTCACCCAGATTGAGCCGTGCCTGCCATCATGCTGCTGCACATCCGTGCGACGGAAGACTGGCTCCTTGTTGTGGCCGGCGGCACCCCGCCAACGCGGGGCGACAAAAGGTCTGGAGTCGTGCGACCAGTCATAGCCTGGATGCCACTCATCGCATGACGCAGGCGACCGCGATTTGGGTCCCTTCTGCCGATAAGGCAAAGGCGCGTGGAAGACTGCAAGGGCGGCGCAGCCAACGGCACGCAGGTGGTTTCGGGCCATGCAGCTCCAGCCCTGCGCAACGGTCGCAATGTTCACGATGCAGTCTCACGGCGCCAGGGTTGGCTGGTGAAGCCCTCTTCTTTCAGCTTGAGCTACAATGGCGCCGTGTTGTGCAACGGTATTACGAGGAGAACGGATAGTGGACATAGGTTCCCAGGGGACCAGGTGGCACGACTCAATGCCACTATGTCGGACACAAAGTGTCCCTAATTGTGGCTCAGCCTAGCCTGTGAAAAGGATGTCTACAGTAGACCACTCACTAGCTTCTGCATAAGCGGGTGTTTACCCTAAGGCTGAGGTCATAGCTTCGGGGTGAAGGCCGCAGGGTCCTGCTTTAGATACCGACAGAAAGATACGCTCGAGTTGCAAAGGCCCCCAATCATCAGCGACCCCAGCGCAGACAAACTTGACACACAAACAATTGGCGAGCAACCACGAAGCTGCGCAGCCAAGAATCGGAGTGAGAAGCGGGGTGGGCGTGTATATATGTGAGCATGGAAAGAACGATAGCGTCATGCTACACCTCAATAAATGGGTAAGCTTGTGATAGCTAAATATTGTAGTATGCTATAAGGTTGGATTTGAGAACAACAGATGCAGGTAGGCACCAAGTTCGGGGGGTTGTGTGACGGCCAATCAGTCATAGTATCCCCCTAACTGTCCCTCAAACCATTCTACCGTATATCCCAAAACCTGTTCCAATTACTGAATGCCCTGAGCTCGGCCCTCTGCCAACCAGTGTAGCCATGCGGATCGCGAAGACGAACCAATCGGAGGATTCCTAGCAGGCTCGAAATTTCAGATGGTGTAAGACAAAACTACGAGCTGGATTTCCCAACACCTGCCATGTACGCGCATCTGAACCAATTTAGCAGTTTGACCTAGTGATTGGCTGAATTTAGCGGCCGCACGGGCGAGCATCATCAGCATCAAGTTCGCGACCACACGGGCGGTCATCATTAGCATCAGCTGAATTTCCCTATAAAATCTCTTTCCCACCTGCCGGCCGGTGGCAGTTCGCGACCGCACCGGCGAGCATTATCAGCGTCAGCTGGACTTCCCTGCAAAAAAAATCCCACCTGCCGGCCCGTGGCAGTTCGTAACCGCACGGGCGAGCATCATCAGCAGGACTTCCCTGCAAAATCTCTTTCCCACCTGCCGGCCGGTGGCAGTTCGCGACCGCACGGGCGAGCATCATCAGTATCAGCTGGACTTCCCTTCAAACTCTCCTTCCAACCGCATCATCCGCATCAGCTGCACCTCCCTTCCAACCGCATCATCCGCATCAGCTGCACCTCCCCTCCAACCGCATCATCCGCATCAGCTGCATCTCCCTTCAAACTCTCTTTCCCATCTCCGGCCTGTGAACCCACGAGCATGCATAGAAGTTCGGTCAAGCGTTAGGTTGGTTTTTTCACGACCGCACGGGCGAGCATCATCAGCATCAGCTGGACTTCCCTTCAAACTCTCGATCCCATCTGCTGGCCGATGAACCCAGAGCACGCATGCCAGTTGAATCGCAAGTGATTGACCGAATTTAGCGCCCGCAGGGGCGAGCATCATCCGCATCAGCTGGACTTCCCTTCAAACTCTCTCGCCCATCTGCCCGGCCTGTGAACCCAAAGCACGCATAGCAGTTCGACTCTAGTGTTTTGCCGAATGTAGCGACCACACGGGGGAGCATCATCAGCATCAGCTGGACTTCCCTTCTAGCTCTCTTTCCAATCTGCCGGCCGGTGACTCCACAGCACGCATAGCAGTTCAATCACAAGTGATTGGCTGAATGTAGCACCCGCACAGGCGAGCATCATGAGCATCAGCTGGACTTCCCGTAAAAACACCTTTCCTTTCTGCCGGCCGGTGAACCCACGGTACGAATTCGATTCGATCCCAGTAATTGGCCGAATTTCGACTCTCACACTCGCACCAGGCAGGCAATGGCCGAATTTAGGGAGAGCATGGGCGCGCATCATCAGCATCAGCTAGCATCTCCCTGGGCTCACCCAGAGCATGCGTAGCATACCCAGTGATGGGAGGACCGCACTGGAAAGCATCATCAGCATCAGCTGGACTCCCATCTACCGGCCGGACACGCATGGCAGTCGAATCACAGTGATTGGCCGAATTTAGCGCCCGCACGGGCGAGCATCATCAGCATCAGCTGGACTTTCCCTGAAACTCTTGCTTCCATCTGCCGGCCTGTGAATTCAGATTCAGAGCATGCGTAGCGGTTCGAAACAGTGATTGGTCGAATTTGCCGACCAGACGGGCGAGCATCATCGGCATCAGCCCCGACTATCCTGCAAACTCTTTCTTCCATCTGCCGGCCTGTGAACCCAGAGCATGCAGAGCAGTTCGACCCACTGACTGGTCGAATTTAGCGACCACATGAACGCGCATCATCAGCATCCGCTGGACTTTTCTTCAAACTCCCTCGCCCATCTGCCGGCCTGTGAATCCAGAGCACGCATAGCAGTTCGACCCCAGCGATTTGCCGAATTTAGCGTCCGCACAGAGGAGCATCAGCAGCATCAGCTGGACTCCGTCTCAAACTTTGTACCGACAGTGATTTGACCGTTGTAGCACTTTTTTGGCCTGTTTGAGGTGGTTTGAGGTCGGTGGTAGAGATAGGTCAATTAGGATCATCCGCCAGGAGCCTTAAGGCTGCAGCCTTCTGAAGACTTCAGACTCACCCTTTGCAAACTCTCCAAGAACCCTGAATCCGAAACCTCTCACCTAACCGGTCAAGCCTAACCTTCAAGCTGAAGCCCCCTAAACCCGAAACCTAACAGCGAGATACAGCGAGTACTAGGTATTGCTTGTTAATTGTAAATCATTAACTCGATCACCTGGCCTTGCTTCAGCTTCACCTCTCGGGCGCCGATCACGGAGTAGGCCAGCTTGGGCATCAGCCCGGCGCCCTCGCATTTTTCGACACCGCTTCAACACTCCAGAACAGGCCGAGAAATTTCGGAAGTTATCTGGGAGCATAAGGATGTTACGGGTGGCTTTGAAGCTGCGGGCTTGTTGCGACGTCTGCCTGAAGCCGACAGTTTGAGTCTTTCACTCTTAACTGTGGTCGCGCAGACTTTGAAAAGACAACCAGTCCTCGTCCAATTGCAACTCTAGCACCACATACCAAGACAAGTAGAGAATGATGAACAACTGAAGCAGGTCATTGATTCTCAGCTTCCTCGATCGTTTCGGGAATGACGGTCGCTGCGACTGGGTAGCAGAACCTCAGCTCACCGCGCGGTATGCGGACAGACAATCCAGAATCTCGCAACTTGCGCGTAGTCTCAAAGTCGAGTTCGGCAGCATTTATCCGTACTTCTTGGCTTTCTCAGTCAAGGACGCTTGTACTCCGCTTGGTGTCTGCACGGAAGGAGTCTTTGCGAATTAACCGGTACCTGCGCCCAGCTTTGTAAGGGTTGCGGTCGGAGCCTTCCTCCTTTTGCCATGGCCTCATACTTGAAGCTCAGAAGCACCGAGCCCAATCTCAGCCAAGAAGCCCGACTGCTGATTAAGCATGGCTAGCTTGCAAGAGCCTTCAAATCATCTCACGAGCTTTGGCATCTAGCGCTAGAAACACACACTCCGCAGGGTCTGATGATTTATATCTTGGATGATGCTGATGATCATGGTATAGGTAGACAGGAATGGATGGATGGATGGATATATATATATATATATACGTACATACAGACATACAGAGTTCAACATTGGGGCTTACAGTCGGGCTTGGTCACACTTCGCAGGACCAGGTGCTCCATGTATTCCCGGAGCACGACCCACAGCGAGTCCTGCTGAGAGTTCAGATCTCTGTAGCTCCTCCTCTCTCGTTCTCTCTCTCTCTCTCTTGCTTGCTTTCTTGCTGGGGGTTTAGGGGTTGCGGACAACCCCTTGGCCCGAAGGCCTACCCTCTCTCTCTCTCTCTATCTCTCTTGCTTGCTTGCTAGGGGTATGGGCTTCAGGGCTCTCTCGCTCTCTCTCTCTCTCTCTCTCTCTCTGTCTTTCGGACCGAAGTCGTCAGGCTCGTTAGAGTCAGAATCGTTTCAATCGAATTGCCCAAGATCCGGAGCTCATACGGAAGTCACAAGAACATGCCAGCGTGCATAAAGCTTCGCAGATCCGAAGGACCACTTCGTCCTGATCCAGCTCCAAACCGTCTTCCTCCACACCTGCATCGCCCCAGGACTTGGCTCGGCAAGGACCCGAGGTGACTTTACAGAATCGTGTATCCGGAGGCATCCAGAAGCCAAGGCCCACAAGCCCGGAACTCAACCTCTACCATGGCATGTCGACTTGAGATTTGTCCAACCTTCTGCCAGCTTCCGATCGAGAGTCTCCTGGTCCTTGCCATGCCATTTGGTGTAGATGTGCCTGCGCAGTGCGACCCTTGGAGGTTCAGGCTTTCGTGCTGAAACGAGCGGTTCCGCGGAGGTGATAAGAAGCCCAGTGATAAGTAAGCGGAAACTTCGAACTGCAAACTCTCCGTTACTTTGCCGAAACAGCCCCCGTACCATCGGACAAAAGGACGAATACAACAATCTCGACCACCCCGCCCTCACAGAAATCCAGCGAAAACCGGATACTGCACCGAGAGGCTTCCACCGCGTCGCGCCGGCAGATCTTTCGAAGCTTTCCGCCAGCCCTCCACCACAGAGGTAAAGCCTGAGTTTCCCAGGCAATTCGCTACTTTTTGTAACCAAAAGTCTTATGGGATTGACCCTCGGGTCAGGTCCGTGTTGGCATGCCAGGCTTGTCCGGGCCTGGTCTCCGAGCGAAGCAGTTTTAGCAAGTCTCCTTCAAGGTCCGACTTGGAGGCTCTTGGCGGCAACCAGAATATCACATGTCTTGCATGCCTGCTTCCGGTAGGTAGCGCAAGGTGGCAAGGCGGCTAGTTTCTTTGTCAGCTCGGCATCAAGAATCAAGAGCATAACCTCTAGGTGGCAAGAGCGCGCAGTGAGCTCCTCCAACACTGAGCCGAGCAGCAGTCCATAGGCAACAGATCCACCTTCCACAGCCCTCGGATGCCGTGAAGAGAAATTATTTTGCACGAATCACAGGCAGCACCGAAATGGTCAGCAGCTGCCATCATGCATTGACATCTAACCAGTGTCGCAATCGCCGTCATGCCAGAATCAACGTAAAGAGCAGTAAACCTGAAAGATCTCGAAACTGAAAAATGATCTGAAAGTCCTCGCTTCGCTGATCGACATAGCCAGAAGCTCTACACTTGCCTTTGACATTCTCACGACTAGAATCCCCTCAACCATCATCGCTCTGCTTATTATCTTCTTCCTGGCAGTTACTTCCATCATCAAGCTCATCTCGCAGTCATAGTTGTCATAGCTAACCCTCACTGTCTTCACCTTGGTGACATGGCGAGTGCCAGCGTTGCCATCACGACCGCAAGGTGATCCCAACATCTAGCCTACCACGGGCGAAGCACAGACGCCCTGGACTTGTGCGAAGAAGCACGCCCGTGCAGCCAATGGTGCACTTTGTCCATAGCATTCCCTGCATACTAGTGTCCCTTGTGCAACTGCGGCGTGCAGGGATTTAGAAGCGCGTCAGTCATCACACTCCTCAAGTCCATCTGACAGAACCCACACCCCGAACCTTGCTTGAAAGGTGCCTGTAAGAGCCACAGAACTTTGCAAAGGCCTTCTCCAGTAAAGCGACCCAGACCTCCCCCTCTGGGGTGACCTTGGCGGGCTCCTTCTCTGCTTCGGAGCTTCCTGGCTTCAACATCCTTACAGATTTTCAAACCCGACATTTCTTGATGCCGGTCTGCTCCAAAAAGCAGGTTGAAGCCTCTGACAGGCAGAACACCAGCGAAAGAATTCAGCCGGAAACTCAGCTCAACCATCTCTCGTGATGCTCTGCTGGCTGCATGCCCACCCAAGACCCCCAAGTCAGACACAGTCTGAAAAATGGCTCCAAGCTCCAAAAAAAGCGTGTTCAACCACTTAGCCCAAGTTCCAAAGAAAGAGTTTTTGCAGATGGAGCTGAGTGACTCCGGCAGACATCGGGCCGCCCTTGAGTGTCGGGATGCGGTCATCGATCTCCACGAACCTGTTGCTGCCACAGGCCCACCAAAGACGACAAGTGGAGCCTGCTTATCTTCCCAAACACAGGCTCTAAGTACCCCAACTAGCATTATTAGTATCATTCGTATTTCTCAATAAATATTACTGTTATTATAAATATAAACTCTATAGACCCCCAGAACCCCTGAAGCCCTTAAAGGGTCGGAGAGGAGAGAGCCGAGCAGCTGGAACCGCTGCTTCCCCGGGTGGTAGAAGCGAACTGCGTAAGCGCCGTTGGCGGTGAGCGTGGTGTTCAGCCTTAATAAATCAGAATAGGGTTTTGGGGTAGCTGATAGGATACTTATAGTAAGGAACCCTAAGTTATATTCAGGGTTTAGGGTTTCGACTCAGGCAAGGCTCCAGTTTAGGGTTTAGGGCTGGGCTTTACAAACTCCTGTGTTCTTGAGCGTCTTGCCATCCTGTGCGGGGAGCTGATTTTCAGGGGTTTTCGTGGGCTTCGTGGAAATGGGGTTCAGGGTATTGAAGTCTAGATGGCTGGGCTGCGGGTTTCTGTATGCAAATTAATATACCTTTACCCGTCAATTCTGGGGGCTCGAGTTAGCCAACGTTCGGGCAAGCGAAAATGCAAAACCGAAAGGCCAGGCCGAAAACCCTGCAACTCCAAGTCCACATAAATCCCCAGTTCTCGAATACCTCCGACCCTATATCCCTATGGGTGGGGGGGAGATCACTTTTTATGGTGCTTCAATAGTCCGCAGATGGCAACTATAGAGCACTCCTGAAAGATAGTGTCTCGAACACCCTACTACAATAACAATGAAGCCCGTGCAACCCTTAAGCTCTAACGTAGACTCTAAACCTTAACCTTAAATGCAAATCGAACCCATACCGATACTCTCCAAGACCATTCGGTTGCCTGGCTTGTTGGGAAAGGGTCACAGCCATAACTTTGGGTCACCAGGAAAAGCAATACATCCCAGCACATACTTGTGCCTCAGATCCTGCCAAGATGAAGCCAAAGATGCCGGAAGGCCGACACGATCCATGCCGGATACCTGTGAGGAGCTGTTAGGCTCAGGTGGCTGTTGTCTTGGGAATCGCCTATAGATTTTAAAAGATTCATCCCTCTTGTACCCCCAAACCCCAAATTCCAACCCCAAACCCAAAAAAAAACCTTTAAACCCCAAACTCTGAACCCCTAAAACCCCGCTTTGTTTTGGGGTGGAATGATCCTCACATTTGCTGGAGGCCCTTTGCCACGAGTTTTGGATGAAGGCGCGCTAACATGAAACCTTTTTTGAACCCAGACTCTGCCAATCAGCTGGGAAGCGGCACTTCCAGACTCTTGCATCCGGGAAGCGTCGCCAAAGTCAAACCTTAATCCCTCAACACTAGAGGCCTGCAAAGTCTATCGCATACTGATGATCATCCGCACTGAGAACTGAGAACGTGGTCACACAGCGATGTTCCTGCCAAACTGTCCGAATCCAGGACTCCAACTGATGTAGGTTCGTGTCAAGAAAGGTAGGATGTACCACAAAATCCAGTCCCCAGACATGCTCCGAAGTCATGCGAACGAATCCCACCCCCTTCACGAAGTCATCATCATAAGCAATCAAGCTGGGTCCCTCAATCTCATGCAGCCATACCAGCCACCACTCATCAGCAGCCCAGCACACTGCAACAGTTTGCTTCCAACTGACACTTGCCTGAAATGCCACTCGCAAGCTGGGCCACAGGAAATCATGCTCATACTTCAGATCCAGCTTATACTGAAACTCGAGTCGAGCCCATCCCGCAAACCAAGCATCATGAAACCTGAACTGTATTCAGCAACACCTGTTGTTGCAAGACGCCTTGCAAACACTGTCACAGGTACTAACACAGAGGGACACCATGAAGGCGCCGAGTTTGAAGAAGCTGACCCTCCCCGGAAACCTAAGCTTACAAATGATTTTTGGGGCACTCAGCCACGCAGGCCATGGCTGAGAGGAACCAGGAGTTCCCGATCAAGGCATCGCCTTGGCTTCTTAGTCGCTTTGGTGTATCTCCTATGGTATAAAAGTAGGAACAAAACAAGAATAATGAGACCAAGTATGATAATAATGATACCAGTAGTAAGAATGTTACGGAGTCCGAAGGAAGATAGTTGGCTTCGAGGTTTGCTTTTTCTTAGTCCCGATTCCTTCCGAGGCTTCCAGAAGATGAGTGCTTCAACTCGCATAGAAGCCTCGTTCAGCAGAAGCCCTAAGCACTTTACCTCGATGTGTTCTCTCTTTCTGGCAAGCGAAGCAAAAGGTGACACATCCTCCACAGTTCAGGCTCTGGCGTGAGACTTCAGCTGCGTGAGAACTGAGCACAGCGACTGCTAACGATGCAATATTCCTGTGGGCAACAAATCTATCGCACACGCATCGAGGCTTCAGTCTCCGGCAAGACCCGTTGAACTAACCTCCAGTGCGACAGTAGGGACTGATGGCATCATCGGAGGTGACTCGGCAGAAAAGGTGCGCCTGCCCGACGGATGTCTAGAGCGATACATGCGATAAGTATAACGCAAACGAGTCCGTGCACCCTAAGTCTAGGCCCTGCAGCCCCATCGGGTTTCAGTGGATTCTCAAGTCAAGATTCCGCTTGGGAATGGAATCCTTCCCCTAGCTGTCCCAAGCACATGCGCTACTGCTGCCCGACTATGCATGGCCTGGGGATGCATCAGCGACACCCGCCGCCAGTCGTCCCAGCCCTCGGCGCTGCCAACAGACTTCTCGGCTGCTGGGAAGTCTGGATCTTGCCACACCTCCGCTGATGGCGGGTTTCAGCCCTCTGCATGAACACGTATACACCTGCGTGCGTGCACATACACACACACACACCCTGTCCTACCCAGAAGTAGATATGGACAGACAACGGATAGGTGTCTGTGCGTGAAAACATGCAATCAACGTGTATTCATGCATGTGGTTAATACAGGCACTGTTGCAACCTATGCTGCGTGCTCTGCACTGCATGTCCCCATGCACGGATATCTACGTGATGTTTTCTACTCTTGTGCTATCTGGATGCCTGCACATATGTGCCGTCACCAGTAAGTAAGTCGATACAGTCCCTGGCAAAAGCTCAATGCCTCGGCGAAGTCTTCGTCTGGCGCAGGCTCCTGTACAAGCCGGGGGCGCTGCTCAGGTCCACAACCATTTGCACAAACGGAATCGCCCGCCAGCCTCACCACCCTCGTACATCAGCTCGTACCCTTCGGCACCGAAGTCCTTCAGCACAGGCATCGGAGAAGCGGGCACAGTGCCGGGAGGAGCGAGGATTCTGTGCACATGTATGTATGTGCTGGTGTACGCACATGACAGAAATATGTGTATGTGTGGGTAGATATAGAGAGAGCGGAGGGCAGAGAGAGAGAGAGAGAGAGAGAGAGAGAGAGTCTGGGAGAGAGAGGCGTGTAGCACATCTATTTCCGTATTCGTCTCTGTGTGTCGCGACTGCGCTTTGCTTCATTCACAGAGACGGTAGAAGGAGGGTACCTTCCTCATATCATGAGGGGTCCTCCACGCCCTCGCCGGCTTCCTCTTGCCACTCATGCCTCACAGAACCAGAACTGCAATGCGGCTGAAAACTGTCGGACCGACTGTAGACCTGGAAAAAACATTTATTGTTGTGGCTACCTGATACGATCCCATGCAAGGAATGCAGCTCAGGCTCTCCCATTCGTCCTCCAGCGCATCATGCATGGACTCGTCTACCTGGACCAAGGCTCACTTTAGTGAAGCAGGGGTGAGGACTCAACAGCCTACGACAAGGCACAGCCGACTAGCTGGCCCTTTCTTCGCGCTCGACTTACTAAATCTTCTTTCGGGCAGAAACGGCTCTCACACACACATATTATATATATATATACATACAGATATAGATGTAGATATAGATATAGACATAGATATAGATATAGATACAGGTTTGTATTACACTCGCTGACAGTAGGTCTGGAATGACCGGCGCATGGCTAATGTTGTACGGAGGTTTTAAACTATCTGCATGTATGAACAGACTGGTGTATGTTTAAGGCTCCCACATTGATATCGTGTGCATTGTGGCTTGTTGCTGGGAGTGTTCGCAATGGACATGTTCAACATATGTACTCACCGATATTCCTACGCATCCAAATTTGCACACCCACCGAAACTCTAAAAAGATCCCCAGGGGATGTCAAGTCAAGTACACCGGATCGAGTAGACTCCATCTTGTCTATTGAGTCTGATGCGCTGAGATTGCCTGGAACTGCTCAGGCACATGTCCGTCCCACAGCTCCACATCCAAGCACCTTGCGAATGGCAAGGAAGCCATTCAACCCCGCCAGGCTAGGTGCAAAAGTCCCAGGTTTGATCATTTTCGGGCCAAGGGTATGATTGATACAAGGAAAGTCGTCGCTGCTCTGACAGGCGGTCGTGCCCCTTGCAGCCGGCACCGTCCGAAGCTCAGACCCGAAGCTCCCAAGCCAAGGCCAGAAGGCGACAAGCAGCAGCGCCGCTAAAAGTCAAAGTCGAAATCCAACATGCTGAGCCCAGTGTTCAAGTCATGTATGCAGCTTTCACGATGGGCAAGGCACGGGGAATTTGGTGCTCCACTTTGGCCTCTTTTGCGAAGCGTACCCAAAGGTCATGTTGGAACTGAAGGTTTGCAGCACTCCACCCCCAAAGTCGGCACTCGATGAAAGCCCCCTGCGGAAGAGCTGAACTTCCGAGTGCTTCTAGCTCCACGCCAAAGCACCGGCCCTCCTCCTCAGTTTAGGGCGCAGGGGATCCGGTTCAGCTAGAGGTTTGAGGGCTTCCAAGCCTTACGCTTAAGGGCCACTATACCGTATTATACGAGATTATAATGATTATACTATATCATTATATTATACTACACGAGACTCGGCTGTCAGGGTGGAAAGATCGGGGGCTCGTGACTCAGGCACCAGACAGCACTTTGCACAGACATGCTCTAAAGCATGAACCCTTAACCCTGCATCTGACGCTCGAAGAAACCCAGGCTTCGTCTCAGCTCCGGCGTTCCGAGAAACCCCGAAGCCCCAAAGTCAACCAAGGCCGGGATGAACTGTTATAATATTCCTGTACGATAAGATCATACGATTTTATACTAGATCATACTACTTTTTTCCGTATCATACAATGTTATACTCCATTATGTTATCATGATTTCGACTCTCACATTCGCACCAGGCAGGCAAGGCTCCACACAATCCAGTCACGAAATGATTTAGGTCTTCTGGCCAGGCATATTTGTCGCCAAGATTCCGTCTCATCCCAGGCCTCGCGATTTTCTGCCATGCAGAAGAGTCGCTTGTCCTGGCAAATCGAAGGACCGTGGGTGCAAAATAAATACATGTACGTGTGTGTATATATATATATAGAGAGAGAGAGAGAGAGAGAGAGAGAGAGAGAGAGGGAGAGAAAGAGAGAGTGACAGATGGATAGATAGATAGGTAGATAGATAGATAGATAGGTCTGGACTTCAGGCATCATGTATCATCAGCCCGTGCTTGAAAGCAACAACTGTGAGGCCCTGATCAAGACTCGAACTCGGGGCCAAGTGCACCCGTCAGCATCAAGGCGTCCGAATTTGTTGTTCAGCATTACTTCCATTGTTGTCTGCGGGGTGCTAGCGCAAGTGGCTACGATTTGGGATGCAACGCAGAAGCAGTAGCCAGTCTGCCCCAGAGGCCGAGCCCAAACATCTAAGGAGCCCTTGCTCGCCGGGCTCTGTCCAGCTTCCCAGAGGGGTTCCGCCAGATGGCGGTGCAAAGGTGCGGTCCTCCGGAAATCTGGGAATGTTGGAATGCCGGATGATGCGTGCAACTTCAGACTTCATGGGCAGCGCTGGCGCTTGTCTGCTAGCTGGGGTAAGCAAGAATGAAACAACATCAGATTCAAAGTCAGATTTAGGGAAGTAGGCTTGACGGATGTTCAACGCTTCATGATGTTAGGATTGCTGGCCATGGTTTTTATCACGGGAAATTACGATTTCCCGCATCATTCGGATCCCTCATGCTTGCTTCCATGGGAGAGAGGGGACTTCCCATTATAGGATCTTCACGCCAGATCCCGATTGGAGGACCCCTGCGCTATTGGGAGGACAACGCATTGATGCCCAGCTCTCCTGCTGCATGGCTGGAAGGATTGAACATCCTCGGTCTGACGAGGTGCTGTATGTGTGTAGGCTTCTTCGGCTGCAAGGTGGCCTACACAGCGCTTCACGTCCCTTGATGCCCGGCTCGTGGGCATGCCGGGTCTAATTCAGGGCTGCAGTTCGCACAGTACGGTCGGACTTCATAGATCATGCGACTTTGATCTGCCCATTCTGGGGAACAAGCTCTTGCACGGTGCAATGTCAAATGGCCTTAGCTTTGATATTACCGGCAGTGCTCAACCAATCTCGGATGCTGGAGCCGAACCCCTGGAAGTCTCAGCCTCTGCCCGGACTAGAACTGAGTGGTGCACGAGAGCCTGCACATGTTCGACACATGAAACGCGACTCCACGAGGAAAGACTTGCGAAGATGCTCAACAGCCCCAGCCTCCGCCTAGATACAGTCTAAGCCCTAATAATAACTCCCTAAAGCCTTGCGAGTAGCAACCCTAACGACAGCTAACAACTCAACGAAACCAAACACCCAAACCCCACCCAGCTAACAACTCAAAGGAACCCCAAATACCCAAACCCCACCCTTCAAGTGTTTGCCAGGTGGCTTGTAGCGTTTAACCGACCCAGCCTTCGGAACCCTGGAGGCCACGAACCAACCTCGGAGAAAACTCTTTCGGGTTGAGACGACTTAAGGGAGGCTCTCTTGAGCTTTCGGCGATAACGCTCGGACAATCCAGGGCTTTGGAGTTTATGGTATTTATGGGACTCGCGGATTTTGCCGGGTTTAGGGAGTTTGTGGTGTTCGGGGTTGAGCAGTTTGGACTCGCACCGGCGGGGCATCTCAGGTTGGAAGGGAACACATCCCCGACGTTGTATTTGTTTGGGGTTGGGCTTTGTTGCTTAAGGCCTGGCTTGCTAGAATCGGAATGCAGGGTTGCTCTGGGACTAAACAGTTGGCGCATATTCCACAGGAAGCTGAAACTGACAGGCCTTGCTTCTTGCCATCCTCCGTCCAGCCGTAGAAGATGTAGGCCTGCTTAAGCTAGGAAGCGTGCATGTAACCCGTTTTGCATGGTTTGTTGCAGGTTTGGGGCTACACTCCTGCTACAAAAAGGTGGTTTACAGCACTCGGCTACGGTCTACGAAATCCAACCACGCGGATGAACAATGGGTCTACTTTTGATGGGTCAGGAAATGAAGTGCTTCGAAAGCCTTGGCAAAAAGCATGACCGTCCAATCCTCGAGAAAGCCACAGAGCTAACTTTAGCTGAACTCTCCTCCTCCCCTCACCCGACCAAACAAAAGTGCCTCTAGCCGGTAGCCCAAACGCCTGCCGACAAGTTGTTGACAGCCCTGGCCTCGGGGTATCCTCGCTCGTAGACGGGAAGGTCGTTGAAGCTCCAGTCGGCCTTCCACTGCGTCTGACTTACGAGCTTGGGCAGCTTTGAGGCTTAAGCCTTCGGTTATTGGGTGAAGGCAGGCCGTGTCCGGGGTACCTAAATGCGGCTGATGCTTTGGCACTCAGGCGCTCACTCTCGAGTTGTCCGAACATGTGGCCGATGCTTCAGCTGTCTTCCGACCTTTGAATCACGAACTTACTTGTTCGTTGCTTGCTGCAGCCGCAAGAAATCACTAAGATCCCGATCAATGGCAAACGGATCCCTGAACAGGTCGTTCCACAGAGGCACAGCCGAGAACTCCAACTCACGATGCGCGGCTTGGGATTACCCGGGCCGAGTGTGGAATTTACGCTTTGGGGTCTGCGACATGGGGTGTCAACATTCAGGGATAAGTAAGGTCTTTTTCGGCTGGGCTGCGGAGACGGAAGGGCTTGATTTATCTGGGTTGTTGTTAAGGAACTTATTTCTCCTTACCATAGCACCAAGTTGTTTACTATTGACACCTATTGTGGCAGCTTGAATTAAAATATAAACTTCTTTACAAGAACCCAGTTCTCATCCCGCCCTCCACAAACTCGCGCACATGATAATTTATCATGATTTTCAGAATCATCCAACGTTCTTCGCGTGGTATCTCAAGCTTACGTGCGCTTGGGCATTTGGAAAGGAGGTGCTGAAGTAGCCTGGTGACCCGTAAACCGCTCCTTGAGTAGCTATGTCCTGGACTTCCCAAACGACGCGACCCAAGCAAACCAGGCATATTGCCTTGGAGAAGCGACCGTTCCTGGGCGAAGCCGTCAGGGCTGGGGCCGGGGTCATTTTTTTCGGACCCGCCTGTGCTTTTCGTGAAAATGGGAGTTTAGCAAGGCGCCGCCTTTGCCCAGCGACATTACGGGGCCTCTCTGGGCGACCAACTCTCAAAGAGAAGCTTCACGAACCTTGGCGCCAAAACCCAAACCGTAGCCACCAGGCAGCAAACTCCGAAGGTCTTCCTTCTGAGTTACAGTAGCAAGTTTAGGTGCAGACAGGATGAATTACTCTATCTCAGCCACAAAGTTCTACGGCCTCAGAGAAGCCTTGAAAATCGCGATTATGAACCCGAAGACCAAGCCCCAACCTCTGAGAGGAGTCAGGGTTTGAGGCCCCGACCCCGAAACTACGTACCCTGTGTGCAGAAAGGCTTCAGGTCTTCGTGGAGAAACGCTCCATGAAAGCAGACGCGGTCGACCTCTCTCCGCATTGCTTCAGGGGTAACAGACTGCCCGGATTCATGTCTCACTCTCCTTGAGTTGGAGAAAACGTAGGGACCCCGCCAAGTTCTCGATGCAAACATCGATTCAAAATTGCCCACTGGCCTTTCGACGAGCTTACCAGCTTGACCCTTGCATCTCAGCCCTTGGCTTGAAACCCGACAGCCCTAGCTCAAGAGCTCCTGGCCCGGTAGGCGCAAGGGCGAAAAAGTCTTGAAACGCGGTACAAGCCGAATACTTCGGAAAGATTGCTTAGCGTTCGTCTCTGGAGTTCAAAGTAGTAGCATCACCTCGGCCATGTGGGCTTCAGAGATCTTCTTCATCTCATCCACCTTCTTCCTGGGGCAGGGGCAGCGTGTGCTTCTTGCAAGATCGGTATTAGATATTTCGCCGCATACCAATGCCGGCCTTGCCCTAGCTGCCCTAGCTTGTACAGCAACATTCCACGTTGCAACAGTACAACACCATGACATGTAGCAAAGCCTAGCAGGCTTGCGTGTATTATAGTCTCCTGCCGTATTTTGTGGCATCCCACTCAACGCTTCTCCTATGTGACCGTGCCGTGCACACGCCCTGCGCTCTCTAGATGGCTTCATCCTCCACAACTTGACACTGCCTGAGATTGCACGATCCGAGCGCACGATGTTGCATCCTGCCCCATGGTGTCTTGAAGTGTTGCAGGTGTATCATGACATTCCATCATGTCTGTGCTGTTTCTGTCGTCTCTGGATGAGACCTGTGTGTCGCTGCAGCGAGAGTGACAGGCATCTGTGGTTCTATTTATGCGAGAGGCAACACAGCTACCACAATCTGCGAAAGTTTGCATGGCAGTCAGTGCATGAGCCTTCCCACAGGCTGACATGGCACGGCCGGTGCGAGAGGCGGAATACCGCACGCCCGGCATCACATTTTTTAGTGTGACACTATTGAATTATGCCATGTTGTATCAGTGCGACGAGCTACATGTTGGGAAAACCTGGGACAACACGCTACGGCAAACGGCAGTGTGTCATGTTCTAGCCCCCAAGCTCACTGAATCGCAACTAAGGGTCTCCCAGTAGCTGAGCTCTTTCTTCGATTGCTTCAGTTCCCTATCGTAGACGTAGTCCACAAACTCGTCGAAGGTTACCTCTCGGGGAAATCCCGCACCACCCCGAGGTCCATAACGAGACAGCCAGGTCCGGAGTCCAAACCTTTCAGCCCTTCCTCGACGCCTACTGGAAACCTCCAGGGAGTCAAATGGTCTCCTACATTGGTGACAAACTCAGATGTGGTCTGCTCCTTCCTTGCAGCCAAGGCGCCTTGTCATCGTTCCTGCCGCACTCCAAATTGAAATCAAGAGGTGACTTCAATTCCGCGAGTTTTGTAAGCGAAGAAAAACTGCGTTCCAAGCAGCCCTTGCATGCCGGCTCTCGCACAACCCTGTCCTGCTGATCTGGGTGAAGAGTATTGAAACTTCCTGCGCGTCAGAATCGTGCAGCATCTTGTCAGTAACAATTCTTGGCACGTCCCTGCTGGTCCTGTCACATGCATCCTAGATTCGCAATCGAACGAGTTAGGTGGCGAGAGAAACTTCGCAGCACCCATACGGTAAGGCCTGAGCAACTACCTCCCGGCTCCTCTTCCGTAAAAGTCGGGTTTCCCTTCTGCAGTAGCGCATGCAGCTCGCTCTTGTCCAGCAGCCCATCGCCTCGGCACACAGCGGCTGGTCAGCTGCTAGCAAAATCTTCGCGGGCTAATCTCTGGAAAGCAAGGAAGAGGTAAAAATTATTAGACAGATATGAAAGAATCATAAGCTTGCACATTCCGAAGGTACGAAAGGTTTGTTGGCACGAATACGAAACAGCTCTCAGCGTCTCGTACTCGTTTCAGAAATCATCCACAATTATTTCATAAACATTTCATACTTCTCGAAACCGTTTCATATTTCCTTCATCAGTACACATTGCCTTCGTCAGTATGTCATGTTTCTTCATATTTCCTACTGACTGAAGAATAACTCCTCGCACGCACCCTCCCGCACCTCTCCTCGCCTAAAACAACTTCGGAAACTATGAAGACAACATGAGTGCTGTGGGAGGGGGTTCATTTCAGGTCATATTCATTTCACATTGACAATTTTATGTCTGTCATGTCCTGTATTCTTTCCTGAACCCAAGGATTGGCCCAAAGATGTTCTTAACACTACCCATAATCAAACATCGGCTTCTGCTGAGATGACTAAACTTGTCAATACCAGAGGCTCGCCGGCACACATGAAGCAAACTCAGGTGACCCTTAGGCCTTATCCCCCGTGGCACCGGTCGCTAAGCCACCAGTGCTTCAGAGGAGCGGTTCGTGTCCAGCTTCCGAAACTGGCGCTTCAATCGCTCAGCTGCCTCAAAGAATTCCTAAGGTCTTAAAGTTTGGGTTCCCACGGCCCTCCTTTGGTTAGCTCCGAGCTTGAAAGCTTTCTTGAACACGAACTACACACTCGACCATAAGTGCGAATATACGCAACCGTATGTATACACACACATACACAAATGCTGGAATGTATCTGTTTGTAAGTCTCTGTGTGTGTGTGCGCGCGAGACTTTGTGGGGATGTATACTTTGTAAGCAAATTCAATAACGTGCGAAAAATACCTGAGAATTGTAACAGCTGTGTCTTTGTGTGTTGCTCGCCTGTGATTGTGCTAGCAGTGTGCATACGCGCGCAAAGCGCCACACACTGCATGTAAGTCGCAAAAGCGAGCATGCGTGTGCGATGCGTCCGTCCATTTGCAGAGCTACGTGCACCTTCAAAACATGACATCGCACGAAGCACTGCAATTCCCTACTACAGTAACGGCATGCCACCGTTCCTGGAATGCAAGCAGTCGAAATGCGGCGAAACGTGGTGTCAGCCATAGGTTCGACCAGAATACAACAGAAGAAGCTACTGCAGGACTGTAGGGGCCTTTATAGTTGGAATAAGGGGTGGGGGGGGGGGGTATGTTCTAATATACATATAGTAAGGAACCTCCCAAAATAGTATTGGCAGAATGGGTAACTACTTAGGCCCCAACATTGCATACAGAATTCAACGTTGATTGGAACAGCGCTGATCGAGAAATGAGCATATCTATCTGCAGTATAGCCGTGCAACTCCCAACCCCCGTCCGACTACTCAGGCCTCCATGTTAATGGTATATATACATATACACACACATATATATATATATGTATATACATATATTTACTTATTTACTTATGTATTTATATATTTATCTATACTAATATTTATATTTGAATTAATATGTATATATATATATATCATTATGTATTTAATTTTATATTAATATTTATATCTATATTTATATTTATATACCTGTACAACCACATGTAATGAAAAGCGCCGAGTACCATCGTCCCTTTCCAGTTCCATCCTTGCACCGTCCTAACGAAACTGTAGCCAACCTCACACACACACACACACGCGCACGCACCACAACACAACTTGCTCAAAGGCCCTGCTGAAGCCACCTGTCCCAAATCCCAACCAAAGAACACGAAAACCTCAGCTCGAAACCTAAAGGAATACCCATGCTTTTTATGTAGGCCTCCTCCTTGTCCATAGCGAACAGCTGAGGCTGCCTATATTAATATATGCATAGGATGCATTCCACGTATTGCCTGTCAGCCCAAATACCGGATTGTAGGGCTGGCAAGAAACTTATCCGAAACTAGCTACGGCTCCAGAGGCCAGCGCTGACAAAGCGAAAACTGAGATAAGTATGGGCTTGGTCATGCCATCGCTCAGAACACGCTTGAGCCTGTGGGCAACGGAACTGTGCTCGAAACAACAGTACTCCCTGCAGCGATTCTGGCTGGTGACTGGGTGTTGTTACTTCTTCGGCAGCAAGACCTGCCTCCAATGGCTCCGATGCATATTGCAGACACATGTGCAGCTCGGAAACCATAAGTGTACAGGCCTCTTGGCTTGCAAAGAAAGCTAATCAGCCAAGCGACCAGAGCCCTGACATCACAATCACATCCCAAATCTCTCGGGCCTGCGCAGGGCCGCTGCTGCAAACGGACTTGAGGATGACCTTGGCTGTCAAGATGACCCGGTTCCATCCTCAACTTAAATTTGGATAACTCTGCTAGGACCTAGGACCGACATATCACCACACGGCGAAATGTGCAAGAGTGCGAAGCAACACAACCCAGATGCAGCCACGACTGAAAAACAAAACAAGCACGACCTCGCACAGGCGCTGTACCTATGGGAACTGCACGGACATCAGGTGCACTTGCGTGCTGATGTCCTTCACCATGCTCAGCTCACGCACATCATCTATCTGACCCTCCCGTTTTGCCGAATGTCTCGGCTTCCCTTCTGAGAATGAAAAGCCAAGGCAATACATTGGTGGTGGCTTCCCGGCCGTCAGGTTCACAGCCACAGGAAACATCTAGCCAGACAAGCGCGGCTAGACAAAGCTAGGTAAAGCTAGAGAAAGCTTGATAATTACTATGCTCATGTGCCGAAGATTTGTGGCTTTGAAAGGATGTAAGGGTAGGTCCGGAAACACAATAGAACCCAAAAATGCTGGGCTTCCAGGCCTCAAGAATGGAAAGTTAAACCCTAAACCATGTGCACCACCATGCAAATGCTACGCCCACCTGGATAGGTTCCGACCAGGTCCCGGAGGACCAGGATGCTAGAAAATGCTAGATAATGATTGACAATGCTAGAAATGCTAGATTCCGGCCACTGCCTGACGACAATGCTAGAAAGTGCTCGACACTGCTAGACAATGCCAGATAACGCTGGACAATGATAGATCATGCTAGCAAATGACAGATTCCGGCCAGGTCCCGGAGGACCAGGGATGCTAGAAAATGCGAGACAATGCTAGATTCACAGCGTTTGCCCGGGCGTGTGTCTTTCTCAGGCTGGGCATCTTGAGAGGAAAACTTTCAGACAATAATGTTGAGCGTACGGTTTCCAAGTTCAGCAGGTTGGCTTCCGAGCGAAGGAAAAATTGGCAGCCTGGTTTCTGAATGAAGGAAAGGTCTAGCAGGTTGGTTGCTGAATGCAGGAAATATCTAGCAGCGTGGTTTCCTGAATGCAGGAAATATCCAGGAAAATCTAGCTTTAACTAGCTCCTGTGCTCGTCTGTTGGCTGTGAAGACGACGGCTTGCAC